AAAACCCGAATGATCATGCAAGGTGAGGTTTTAAAATGCATTTTGAAGCTAATGATCAAAACAGATGGATTCAAGAACAAGCAAGGGTCCACTAAAGTCTTAAATACATTACTCATGGATTAAATCCAAAGAAAGAACTCAGTTTCTTACTGGATCAAAATGTGGCTGTCAATTTGCAAATTGGTGAAATTGTGTTTAAAATGGACTTTGTACCTAAACAAAGCTAAAGCAAATGACTTATGACAGCAACTACTATCAATCTATAATGCAACAGGTTATGAACTTACACACATAAATTGCAACGATTCAAGATGAAGCTTTAATGGCATCAGAGGTTAACAATCTTTCAAAACAGAAAGTAAACAGCAGATCAAGGCAATATGCTTTTTAAAGCAACAAACATGTTAATCCAATGTTCAACTGATCTAGGCAGCAACCAAGTTTGCGGTGTTTCAACAATGTTCATTGATGAATTCCAACCAAGATGTCTTTACAAAGACATAGCTCCAATAGTAACTTTAGAAAAACAAGATTATAACACAATTCAAACAAAGGTATTTTTTGCTTAAAACAGAAACAAACAGCAAAGCTTGATGCTACAAAATGCAACAACCAACAGCAGTCTAAAGCCTTGCCCTTTTGACAGTCAAAGTGAGTTAACAAACTCAAACAAAAAACAACTCCTGACAGAACCAAAGCAGTCTTCTAAACATAACAATGTTGATACTCTTAATAGGTTTTTCATGACAAATCAATACACACTTCCAATGAGAGGTTGCAACCTCAAAACAGTGTGTGGAACAAATCTTGATAACACAGTTGTGAGCCCTAACATAACAATGTCTAGACCATTCAACAACTAGTCCAACATTCATTCACAAAGACAACTTACCAGCTTATGACAATAGGCATCTCATAACACAAGTACAAACTCCTTGGCATAACAATACCAACCATCCAAACAGCAGCCCTAATACTCACTCTAATGACAGTCAAAAACAAATTCAAGCATGAAGAACCAGTTCTGGCAGCAACAAGGTATTCATGTTCCAATCATCATACCTCAAGCCAATATCTTTACCAAGACCAAACAAACATACACAAATCCAACAAAAAACTTAATACAACATAGTTAGAAGTTTTCCAACATAAAAATATGATCTAAGAAGTTTGTTTGAAAACAAGAAGCAACCACACACTTTGTTTATGCAAACATTAGTGCAATAGTCAAATGGACAATGAAAGAAGTTTAGCAAAACAGAAACAGTAGGTTTTAGTTATCACAATGCACATTACCTTCATGATAATTAAAACTTCCTAGGCAGGTTTTAGTTATGAGAAACAAGTTTTGGACAACAATGATCATGAGTTCAATCTAACAATATCAATCCTCAATGCACCATATGTTTCAACAGTCTATATCAATGCTTTTACAAAGGTAACAACATACACACATTTCCCTAATGACATTCATCAATTCAAACAAACCACACCTAGCATGAGAGCCAAGTCTAAAAGCAATAATCATGAGTTGACCAACTTAAACTCCAAAATAGTTTTTTGACAGCATAGTTACCACTTAAACATAACAATGTCTAATTCACTCAACAAACCAATCAATACATACATGATGCACAATAATGAGAAAGATTAGGATTACATACCTCTTGTAGTCTTCCTACAATAAGCTAGCTGCAAAAACAAGAGATCCCTTCCTCCTTTGAGCAAGCTTATGAAGTTGCTTCTTCTTGAAGTAACAAGGAAACCTTAAGGACAGTTTGAGAAAATGGATTTTCAGTTGTTATTTGAGGTTATGGACAGTTAGTATGACCTAGATAGAAGGTGTTCAAAGTGTCAAAGTAGTGGAAATTGATCTAGGTAGTGAATTGTTCCAAATTATGCATAAAAGTCAAACTTAAGTGAGTGAGAAGTTGAATTTTGGATTTGTGGTGCTTTTGATGGAAACAAAGGTTAGGACACCTTCTAATAATGATTTTAGGTTTGTGTGGATGGTTTTTATGGTGGTTGAAAGGTTAGAAGTAATGCTGGTGTGAAACTTGCAAGAAGGCAATTTTGGTGATTTTGTGACTTTCTTCACTTACAAGCAAAGCAACAAAGAATGAGAGCTATGTTTTCTCTTGGGTTTTAGAGGGCTCTGGTGTGTGGGGTAACATGATAAGGAACCTCTATTTATAGGCAAAGAGAGGGGTTAGGACAGATTTGCTTAAGTGGTAATCAAGGTGGTTTTGTTGAAAATCTTAGCAAATCTAGGTGATGGTTTTGGCTCTGCAAGCTTTGCTTGCTTTCAAGATGTTTAGCCCCCTTAAACCAGCTAACAATTAGTTGTGAGAAGTGAACAAAGAGTGAACAAGGACACCCTCCATGTTGCAGCCCTCAACACTCTCTCTCATGGTGTACCTTTTGTACTTTTCCTTATTAAACTAATGGATTATGGATGAAACTTTGGATTTGCTTGGACTCTTTTCTGATCTAGTTCATTGCACCCTCTAACACATCATATCAGATGTCATTCCATAGTTAGAAATGAAGTGCATAGTTGGAAATCAAGTTTATGTTGAGTTTTGACATGATGACAATCAAGTGTTTAGGGCCAACTTGTCCCCTTCGAAACTCTAAGCTCATAAGGGCTATGGAGGAGTTCTTGTATTTTTTGGAAAGCCTTCATTATGATCTACAACGTTCATGTATACTGAATTTTCAAATTCCAAGTGGAACTAAGTCAAACAAAATCCTCAAAGTTGGCTGAAAACATGCCTAAAAATGCCAAAAACTTGGAATTTTGCCAAGTCTTTTCTCCCTCTTGTGATGATTTTGACTATAACTCCAAATTTATGCATTTTTTTCTCATAGGTCACCTTTACACTTTTGTAGGGTTTGCCAAGACCTTTCCAACAAGCTTTGAACCACCTCATTTGGATGTGTGGTTAGGAAGTTATGGTCTTCCCCCTTTCAAAATCCTAATTCCCGACTTTTTCGATTACTCTTCAATCCTTGATCCAATGGTCACAAAACTTAATGACTAGATGTAATATGTTATTAGGAACATATTTGCTTTAAACTTTGAGGTCAAATTCCTTTTGGTCAAAGAGTTGACTTTTCAATCAAACGGACTGATCGATCGAAAAACCCTGAATCGACTGTTGATGTTCTGGGTCTTTTGAGGTCTTGAAACTTCTTGGGTGGACTTCACTAAGCCATATGAGCTTCATGGACCATGATTTCATCATTGTAATGTCTTTTAAACCAAAAGTCAAACTACAGTTGACTTTTCCTGATCAGAAACCCTAATCGGGAGTCCAGAACTACACTGTTCCTGATCTTTGGGTGACAACCTCAAATTGAATTCATACTTGATCCAATATAGTATCTTTGATGATGTAGAGACTTATTTCATTGAGAATTAATCCAAGACATTGACTGATCAAACCATCGAAACCTCGATCCCTGACTGTACTGAACCCTAATTCACCTGTATCTTGACAAAGATAGACTTGAAAGGGGTTAAGGTTAGATAAACAAATGATGATGCTCCTAGAATGATGAAGACGATCTAATGGTCAAAATTTAGGGTATAACAGGAACATGGCGTCGAAATTCCCAACCAACAGACACTCTGACACTTATAATATAAAAAACATAAGACACTCACACCGCTACATATACAATAATATTTAAGCTTTATTTATCTAGCTATCTTTAAAAAAGTTTAAAATACACTAATGAAAATTAATGTCTTTAATTTTTCATTGATAATAATGTTCAATATATGTCTAGAAAATGGGTAAGGTATGTTAAAAACTAGTTTTTTTTTTTTTGGAAAAACTTGTCTAAAATGTTCGACACATGTTATGAGTGTCATACGAGTCTCCAACACCGATTCAAAGAGTATTGAAACAATGAGAAAATCTATTTTTTGAGAGACATTTCTCTGACTTTTCCGACACTTGTCTAACTGTTTCGACACATGTTGTACGGGTGTCATACAAATGTCGGACATTGACGCGTGTCGCATACCGCGACACGCCAACTCTTAGAGGTGTCGGTGCTTCATCACTTTCAATACTACAAACCCCATACTATGTTCAAATGAAACATTGCATTCAATAAAAGTAATATATAGGGAGGAGTAAAAAGAAATTATTTGAAAAACAACAAAAATCTTGGGAAGAAGGAGCTGTACACAGAAGAGAATATGTTTTAAAGCTGATGGTCAAGGAAAGAAACCATGCTATATGGTCCTAATATTAATGTGGATTTCATCATTCTTCAAATATTGTAACTTCAATTGGAAGTTAAAGTAACATGTTACACTCCAATGTGTTGGCTTGAAATGGCAGTGTTTTTCAACTATCCAAACTCGAGATAAATTCTTCAAAGCTGTCGCATGGCATGAGAATTACTAAAGCAACCAATTGGCACAAGAGACAGATGAAAAGTTAACATGAATTCTTCAAGCCAAGAGCAGTCATTTCAGGTGAATTTAAAAGTTAATATATAAACTCTTATAGCTAAAAACGAACTCTTAAAGCTAAAAACACAACCGTTTCATTCAAATTTAATAAGGGAATTTTATTCCCTTACATCACATGGGAAGTAGTAAGAAAGACATACTGACCTATTCATGTCCAAATATACCAACGTTTTCACGACTCCTGTGTTTGAGACACAGTACGTAATCAATCAGGCCACTACATACTATGTTTAGTTTATAATAATAATAATAATAATTGTACAACATTTGGAAATTCATCATTCCCACTAGTGCATTGTGGTTTTCCTAGTTATCTGTATTTTGGTGAGGCCAGCAGCAATGGTTTGACTCCAAGCAACTAAAAATTATTATTACTTATATTCTTGTCCAGTTTATAAATAAATTGACATTTGGGGTAAATACTAACAATTTCCAACACATTCAAACTAAAACTGGCTTTGGCCTTTTACCAGTTTTCAAATGCCACATGATATCTACCTGAAATATCTCAGTTGTCAATAAGGGTTTGAAACTTGACTCTCTTTTTAACGCTCCTCATTCGTTCATACCCAATACCAATACCAATCCTGCTATGCATCAACTTGATAGCCAAATCAGCATTTCCAGCTTTCCTTAAGGAATGAATCATCAAAGTTCTAATCTTCCCGGGTATTTCTCTACCCCTATCCACAATTCCATCAGCCAACTTACAAGCCTCCTTCACACGGCCGGCTTTACACAGTGCTCCAATCATATCTTCATAAGCCGTTTTAAGAACAACCCCCATAGGTGCAAGCTCATCCAGCACTTTACAAGCCCTCGCAACTTTCCCCGAAAGACACAATCCAATCGAAAGAGCCCTAAAACAAGCAACGTTCGGCGTTATCCCTTTGTCAATCATCAAATCCCGCATCTTGACCGCCTCTTCATTCCTATGCACCCTAAAAAGCTCACTGATAAGTATAGTAAATATATACACAGTATGCTCACAGCCATCACACTCCATCCTTTTAAACAGCGCTAGAGCATCATCTATCCTCCCACACTTACACAGTCCATCAATGAGCGCATTGTAGCAATATGAATTCGGCAGACAACCCTTCTCAGCCATTTCATCAAACACCTTCTCAGCTTCATCAACCCTCCCTGCCTTTCCAAGTCCATCAATCAAACTAGAATAAAAAACAGCATTGACAACAACACCATTCTCATTACAAAACCAAAAATAACCCAAAGCTTCCTCCACTCTCCCACTCTTGCATAATCCATTAACAATAGCCCCATAGGTAACCTCATCAGGTTCGATCCCATCCATTTTCATCCTCTCAAACAACCTTAAAGCCCCATCAGAATTTCCACTCTTCCCATAACAATCAATCAAAGCAGTGTAAACAGCCTTATTACCCTTACAACCATTTCTCATCATATTCTCAAACAAAGCATAAGCTTCTAAAACCTTCCCCGTCTTACAAAGCCCGCATATCACCAAACTATAACAATGAGAAGGAACATCAAACCCCTTATCCTCCATCTCATGGTAAAGACTCAAACAACAATCAACATCACCTTCAGCATAACAAGCCTGCATTATTGTCATATAACTAACAACATTCGGTTCCAAGTTAATTACCTCCATTTCGCAAACCATCTCACCCGCCTTGCGTGTTTTCCCAATTTTACAATACCCTTTGATCAAAGTATTGTAGGTTACCACATCAGGCTTTATTCTTCCTTCTTTCATCGCGTCGAAAACACGCTCGACTGATTCAATAAAAGACGAACCAACGAGTCCGTTAAGAAGCGAATTGTAAGTGAAAAGACTCGGCTGGATGTTTTGTTTGTTCATTCCCCGCCATACCAAGAGAAGCCCGTTCACTAAGCCGGCGTTACCAAAGCTTTTGATGAGGGAATTGGCGGACAGGGATGTAAGCGGGAGGCGGTTGCGTTGAAGTTCTGCGAAAACATTTAATGCTGCTGCGGCGGTTGATGTGGTGGTGTTTGAGGGAGAGAGGGGGAGGTCAATTAGTGAAACGTAGCAATCGAGGGAATGTGAGTAGTTAGGTTGGTTGGAAGCCCAGGTGAAGAAACGGAGGGCGGTGTGGTGGTTGTTGAGGGAACGGAGAGTGTGGGCGACGAAGGAGGGGGAGAGTGTGATGAGAAATTGACGGCAGAAGGAATTGAGGTTTGATTCCATGGATGGTGAATTGTCGAGGAGGTTGAGGATTTGTGTAAACCATGGAGAGGGTTGGAGGTTTTCTTTAGAGGAAACGACATCGGAGAGGTCGCAGAAAGGTTCGACGAGTTCTGGGGGAGGGAGAGACAGGGTTTTGAAGGAGTGGAGAAATGAATGGGAAGGTGGTGGTGGTGTGGCATTGTGGTTGTGTGGGGAATGAGTTTGGAGGTGAGGGGGAAAGGGGAAGTGGATGTGTGAGGAAGGAGAAGGTTGTTTCAGTAGTAAAGAGGAGATTCTCCTCATCACTCTGAAGTCCGCTCCTCCGGGACTGATTGATTTTCGATTAAGAAAAACACTTCTCCGACTCTACCACGATTAATAGGGAGGGCAATGGATATACTTTTGACATAGTACTATAATATCCATTTTTATATTTGAAATTTAAAAAAATATTTCTATTTAAATAGAGTGGGCGTCAAAGTTAGTATTGATACGGATGTCTTATAGATATGTTAGTATTTATATCCGTTATTCACATTTTTATTAAAAATAAATAAATTAATTATTAAATATCATATGATTTTAAATTTTTAAAAATATTAAAAAAAAAATTCAAACAATTTATTGTCAAAATAAATAAATATTTATATAAAATACGTAATAGTTAAAGATTAATGTATTTTCTAAATTTGATAGACATATATTTTTTTTATAATAATATAAATTAAAATATATAAATATAAATGAAATTATATAAATATATATTGTGCGGATATAGAGTGGAGTGGGTACTAAGGTATCCATATGTGCACATATATCCGCTTATTTTTGTAGGTAATTGCTTGAGTTCATACACGCACGCATTTTTGTGGATTTTTATCCTACCTGTTGTGGGTAATTTTGCAGGTGTCTATTGAGAATGAGACAAATTGTCATTCCTAACAATTAAATCATTTTACTCCTTTTAGTATGGCCATTGTCTTTCATATATATATATATATATATATATATATATATATATATATATATATATATATATATATATATATATATATATATATATATATATATATATATATATATATATATATATATATATATATATATATATATATATATATATATATATATATATATATATATATATATATATATATATATATATATATATATATATATATATATATATATATATATATATATATATATATATATATATATATATATATATATATATATATATATATATATATATATATATATATAAAATTTATTTTTTTGGTAATGTCATTGTCTTTCATATTATTTCTATGGATTTAGAGTTTATTCTAGGTGGCATTTACTACATAAGTAATAAACTTGTTTACGATACAACTATAGACTATTTTATCGATTTTAGTATAAAAGTATAGAATTTTATAGAGACCCCATTCGACAAATACAATATTCTACTATTATGATGTTTATCTAAGACGATGTTAATAAGTTTGTTTGTGGAAATGAAAATTAGATTGTTTTTAAATTAATTATAATGACGAAAGATTTGAATGAGATTCTCGTCGATCGTTAGTAAAGTCGTATTTTATAATTAAAACGAGAAAATATTTTCTTCCTAACAAGGATTAAATTAAAGAAAAATTTAGATAGAATTCTTTACAAGTAGTTTTTACTATTTTCTAACGAAAATATGACAAGAGTATTACTTCTTTCTATTTTCACATATGTAATTTTCTACTATTTTCACTCCCTAAATATTATTTAAATACACTTGTCATATTTTCATTAAAAAAAAAATATCATGCCTAAGGAATTGTATCAAAGTTTTCTGTTTACATTAAAGGTATTGTCCGCTTTCGCATGTATGACACCAGATTTCGACTCTGCATTATATTTGTCTGCTTTCGCATGTACGACATCGGATTTCGACTCTACATTCTGTTTGACCGCTTTCACCTGTGTGTGTTGCAGCTTAAAAATCTCGTTTGAAAATTAATCTCTTTTTGCTTAAAAAGTTGCTTTTAGTAGAAAATTCATTTTAAGGTTTCGTTCGCTTTCGCGTGCCTGATACTAGATTTTAAATGTATAAACGCTCACTTTCGTGTGTCTGATTATAAGTTTAAAATTGTCCTTTTGAAAATTAGATTTTATCAAATTAATTAAAAGGTTTTTTTTGTATTTAAAATTAATTTCTGAGTTTCTCTATAGTCAGATATAGGTTTTATTCTTTCAAGTTGAAAGTGCTATCACTATGTTTCTGCTTTCGCAATGAACTTTAATTTATAAAAAATAAAACTTTTCAGACATAAAAGCAATTATTATTATAGACATAAATTTTATGACTCATTAGGGTATCGTCGATACGATAGTTCTCATATTCTGAACTCAACTGGTTTATATTAACATGTAAAAAACAATAAAAATAAGGCATGCTTCGTTCATGTTCGTGTTGATAGCAGAAAACATTAAATAAAGCATATAAAGAATAGCAATAAAGTAAAAGTAATCGAATATGAAACCTAAAAATAATTAACTTTAATATAATATGAAATTGCTTTGATCGAAGACTTAAATCAGGTACAAATGCTAGAAATAGAATGCTGGAAAATAATGTCTGCAAGATTAATGTAGTATAGGGGTGGCAAAACAGGTCGTGGCACGCAGGGCCGGCCCGCACACCCGCTAAAATATGGCGGGTTAGGTTGAAATTTTGGACCCGTCGTCCACCGAAGCTTGCCCCGTTAAAAACCGCCACCCGTCGCCCGTGAAAACCCGCTGCACTTATTCGTTCAGCTTGTCCCACCTTAAACCTGCCACTTTTAGTTAATTCTAGTCATTTCAATTCTTGATGGCTTTATTTTATACATTTATTTGAGAATATATGCAATATTTTTGAAGTAAAATTTGTTAAAAAGATGCTTTATAAAAATTGTTCTCAAAAATAAGTGAAAAATCTAATTGAAATGTAAAAACAAGCCTATTGATCTATTAAAAAAATAAAATAAATAAATAAATAAATAAGTAGGTGGGCAACTCGCCACCCGCCACCTTGGCGGGGCGAGCTAGATTTTTATGCCCATATCTACTTAGCGGGCCTGTCCTCCCTGTAACGCCCCGATTCTGAATTCCCATTTTTTATTGAGTCCTTATTTGATTCATTTAAGTAATTATTTTATTTATGTGGAATTTGTGTGATAATATGTTATGTTTACATATTGAGCTATTTTTGCCGACTTTGAGAGTTTCAGGTAAAAATAGGTTGAAGGGTATTTTGGGCATTAGTGATAATATTAAGTGGATATTTTGTGAGAATTAATTGATAAGTGTGTGGAAAGAATTTGGGAGGAAAGAAAATAGAATATGTGATATAGAGAGAAAAGAGAAAGATAGAAACATTAAGAAGAAAACAAGAGAAAGAAAAGAGGAGGAGAGAAAAGAAGAGAAAGTGGAACAGAACCTAGAATCATCAAGAATCAACCTTAGCTTGCGATTAATCAGGTAAGGGTGAGAAGTTTTATCATCTTGATAATGTATGTAATCATGTATGTGCTAGATTGGATTTGTTGGATTGTTTTCTATGTTTCCATTTCTAGGTCGGAAGTTGGTTTAATCGGTAGAAACTGAGTTTTATCGGTTAGGATCTAGAATATATGGTGTAGTTTAGTCGGGGGATGAGTGGGTTATGCTACTGGGACTGATTTGGATTTAATCGATCAATTTTTGAGGTTTTGGTGGTTTGAAACAGTTGGAATTTTCTGGTTTCGTAGGTTCACTAGCATTCGCCAGGCGAGTGACAACGAAGTTTCGCCAGGCGAAGCCCAGCGAGTGGGCAGCGAACCTATGGCAGTGGTCAAGATCAGTCTTCGCTGGCATGTTCGCCAGGCGAAGGTGGTAGCGAAGGGGTTCGCCAGGCGAATTCCAGCGAACGTGGCAGCGAACTTATGGCAGTAGCTTCTGTTTGACTTCGCCAGCGAGTTCGCCAAGCGAATGGCAGCGAGCATTCGCTGGGGGCTTCGCCAGGCGAAGGTTAGCGAACTTGACAACATGTTTTCTTTTCTCGTGTTTCCTATACGTGGGTTGGTTGTGTGGTTTGATTGCGATCATTCCTTATCTGAGATGACTAATTATATGCTGTTATGTGTGCTGTGAGTAGCCGTATGGCGTGAATCGTAGCTTGTGATTTGTGAAGTGTGAAATGTGGTCGTTTGGCAATTTTGTGCATTTACTTGAATTGAATAGAAATGCATAGCGAGATTGATTGTGAACGTGAACCGTGTATGAAATTGGTTTGAATGGATGACGAATATATATATATATATATATATATATATATATATATATATATATATATATATATATATATATATATATATATATATATATATATATATATATATATATATATATATATATATATATATATATATATATATATATATATATATATATATATATATATATATATATATATATATATATATATATATATATATATATATATATATATATATATATATATATATATATATATATATATATATATATATATATATATATATATATATATATATATATATATATATATATATATATATATATATATATATATATATATATATATATATATATATGCTTTGTGATACATATATTTGGAGTGCATAATGAATATATGCGACTAATGTGATGAATGCTTGAGTATGTTTGTAAACATGTGTGCATTTCAAGAGTGTCATGAGTCATGTTGCATGTGAAGCATCATGGTATGCATTCTGGTGTTGATTGATTCCTCGGTGAATCTGCAGAACCTCGTGTGCCTTTGTGGGGTGTGAGCGATGGTTATTTATTGATTCCTCGGTGAATCTGCAGAACCTCGTGTGCCCTTGTGGGGTGTAAGCGATGGTTATTTATTGATCCCTCGATGGATTTGCAGAACCTCGTATGTTGCGATGGTTATATTTGATTCCGCGTAGAATATGCAGAACCTCGTGTGCCCATGTGGGGTGTGAGCGATGGTTAGTTTTGGTTCTTCAATTGAACCTGCTGAAATGAGTCGGTACCACATTTGCATCTGCATAGAGTCGTGTGTCGGTCTCTATGAGTTGCATGTTGACATCTGTGCATGATGTATGGTGAATAAACATGAATGTAGATGTTTATGTAAATTGTTGATAATTGGCATGAATAGAAGGCTTGAAGATACATGTATGTATGAATATATATGTATATGTGTGTATGTTTATGAATTGATATAAACATTGTTGATGCATATTATATATGCTTGGTGCTCTATTTGTAAATAATTAATT